TTTCAAAGATTATTTAAAAAATAATAAAGGAGGAAAAAAGGAGCAGTTGGTCTGAAGTAATGAATTTTTCACTTCAAAAAAGAGAAAGGTACACTGCAACAGAATAAATGATAGCTGCACCAGAGACAAGCTTTTATATTTACCCTCTAAACAAGCAGAATATTCATTGCTTTTCATAAAATGAAAGTGTGAAAATCTAAGCAAATTTCATTGCTATATCCCCCTTCTTAATGCATGTCAGGTTGACAAACACATGCCTAAAGTCACTGACATCCGTGTGGTTCAGCTGCCAGCCCTGCAGCTCACTCAGCCATCAGCCAACTCCCTTGTCCCTTTGTCCCGCTCCGCTGCTGGTGTTGAGGGGACTGTTGTCTCCCTGTTGCCAGGGGGCAGGTGGCCCCTGGTGTAAGGTCTCCTCCTTACACAGCTCTCCCTTCACCCCGTGACACGTTCCCTCCCAGTGACACAGCCCCTGTTTCCAGCTACCCAAGCCCTGGGGAGCAGCAGCATCACATGGGTAGTTGGGCTCTATGAGCTCCTTTCTTTGCTCTGCTTCTCACCCTCTTGCAGGACCCCCCTGAGCCTTGCAATAAGTCAGTCCTCAAAATCTGCATGTGCTTTATTTAGACCTGAACCATTAGCTCAGTCGGTCCTTTCTTGGAACAAAGTCTCCTTTTCCAACACCAGAAGTTAACAATTGAGATGTACCACGATGGTGGCCTTTTCCCTCACAAAGGTTCAGTGTGCTCCAGACTGTAAGCATTGCCACGACTCCCCCCCCCCCCAAAAAAAAAAAAAAGGCAGAGGACAAGAAATATGGAAAGGGAAATGCCAGTTTGACTGAGATCAGGCCTGGCTCCAGTGAGACCAGACAGCACAAGCGACGTGTTGCAGAGGACACTCAGAGGCACAGGCAGGTTTCAACCTCTTCTGCCTGCCATGCTCCCCTCACAGCAGCTGCCAGTGTGTCTCAGCTGCATTCTTATTAGCTATGATTTAAAAGTATGATGATAAATGCTTTTAGGAAATACACAAGTGACATTTTAGGGCTGTCAGTGAAATAAATTGGTGTTAAGGTACATTCCTCATTATCTAGTTTTGCCCAGAATACCTAAATTAGTTTCTCCAGAGGTTTTTTTTTCTAGTTACCGTTTGGTGGTTGCCTCTGTGCTTGATCAGTGATTTCTTTTTGCTCCCTTAGCTGTTGTCTATACAATGACATGCTTAGACACATCTGAGAAATTCAAGTGTCTTGTTCTCCTCACTCATGTCTATCTCAATTGAATTCTCTTTCAGTTCTCTTTTCCTCTCAGACAATTCCTTGTTAGTATAAATCACCTGTCACTTATCTGATAGATTTAGTTGGATCCAAACTGAGAATGCTGAGATAATTCTCTCTCACAATAGCATTTTTATTTTACCATTCTGACATTCCATATAGCAAAACTCTATTTTAATATCATAGATTGGGAAATTACAGGTCTGTTAAAAAGAGTAGTCTAAGAGAGATTCTTGACTGTTCAGTAGCTGTTCTTAAGTAGTCTTTTTAGCCATGATTTTCACTGCCTGTCAAACAAATGTGTTTTCATGTACCACCATTACAGAGAGAGATTCCACATGCTGAAAAAATATGCGTGTATGGAGTGTAAAAATACTGTTCACCTGTATTGATTGAAATAAACAGAATGAAACAACAGTAAAACTTTAAAATTTGGGGGTTTTCCTGAGAACTAGACAGTATTCAGCCTACAGTATTTCCAAGGCAGGGCTTAGGGTGGTCAGCCCAGACCCACTGCACAGTGAGGTCAGGATGAGCCCTTCACCCACTTCAGCCCTGCATGGAACAGCTTGTTAGTGTAAAACAGCACATGAATGTGTGTGTTCAGAGCAGCACTTTGAGACCTCTGGGTTTGGGTGCTGTTATTATTTTCTCTCTTTTTTTTTTTCCTCCCTTACCCTGTTTGGTCTTTGGAATAGAGGTGGTTTTGGACTCCATGTGCCTCCTCCTTCTCACCTGACAAGGCTGCTGACACACACAGCACAGGGCAAAGCTCTGTGGCTACTCTGACCTTGATGGGTTCTTCCTCTGAGTATCTCCCAGCTGCATTTGGAGTGCAATGCCAGCCTGGCCTGGTGTCTTTTCCTTCTGAGGGAGGACTTCAGCCCAGCCAACTAAGTCACTAAATACCATGTAAAGGAGACAGTGCCCACTGAGAGCAATAGGAACGTCCTTGGTGACTTCAAGAGCTTTGGCTCATGTCAGGACTGCCTTTGTCTTCACAGGAGAGTAAAAATTTAGGAACAACCTACACATATTTTCTGATCAGAATATGAATAGCTCACTAATATCAACAAGTTGACACTATGGGACAAGTGAATGAAGCTGAAGATAAATGTGGGAAGCACAGTAATCGTTCCATGTATCAATTAAAAAAAAAGCACTTTTCTAAATACTGGTAGAAAAAGCTGGGTTTTAAAGAGGTTTTCCTTTCCCCAACAAACATTATAAATAATTTATGCCTCATTATAACATGATTGGGGCAGACACTAATTCATTAGGCCTTCAGGGATTTGAGTAGAATCCTTTCGGATGAATGCAATCAGACCTTTGGTTATCACACATTCCTAAAATCATGCCACGGTTGTTGGTTCAATTACACTTTTTTGAATACTCCTCAAATACAAAATGATAAAAACTTCTTTAGCAATATCTTTACAATTGTGGTAATGTATTACGAATTTAATTCCAGTGCACTCACACTGAAGGTACCCATTTTCACCCTCATTTAATACGTTACCCCCTGGAGGATTCATTTTGACAAAGAGAGTACATGCTCTGAAAACAGCTTCGAAAATTATGATACACTGCAAGTAATGTTCTTAATTTTGGAAACAGGGACCTGATTATGTTTGTAATTTCCAAAATTCATTGCCCGCTATTCTGTTCAAAATCTCCAAGCTACTAAGGAATAGCAATGCCCTTCTGGTAGGGCTGGCAGGACCTTCACCATATGGAGATTATCCTCCACGCAATAACATGATGAACTCAAAGCCCATTAAAAGCACTGCTGAAAGGACACAGGAAATCCTGAGCTTAAGAAAAGCTAGAAGGGGAAGGATGTCATTTAATTTTATTGACATGTTAGGGACACTTATTCTTTTCTTAAATTTCATGCTATCATTTTTAGTCAGATACCACTGTGTTAATGTATGCATTTAGCTGTGCAGAATGGGAAAAAAAGAGAGGAAAGAACACCAAGCCTCTGTTTTCAAGTGTAGGAGACAAGTAACAATTGACTGCAAAACAGTGTGTGCTGACAATGCAAGTCTATAAACGGCTGACCATCTTGTCTGTGATTTTGCAAAGCTTACTTTCACTAAGTGAATTAAGAAAAAAGTAAATATAACCTTTATGAAAAAAACCCCACTAATTGATATCTAATAGTGTCTATTTTAAATGCCAATAAATATCTTGCCAATGAATTACAAATGAAAACACATTTTATACATTAAAAAGTGGAAGTTTTGGCTTTACCTGTTCTTACATGGTACCAGTTATATGAACTACAAATGCACTTCTACCATTTATTCTACTAAATGCTCTTCAAAAAAGTGACTTTCTATTCATAATACCTCAAGTTTATCATGGAATTGTATTGCTAGGAGGCTGAGAGAACAGAAAGTTTCCAGACATCTCTGTTGAAAACCTACTGATAACTTTTGTAAAATGCAGATGTGTTACAACCTGGGTTAGATAAAAAATGGCCCTTCTGACTACAGTCTGTAGCTAATGAAGGGCAGCACACAAGATTTATCATAACAATGGGTTTTATTTCTCTCAGAGTTACACTCTTACTTTTCCATAATTCTGCTCTTTATAGTATCTGAACTTAGAAGTTAGTTCTGCTGTGGGCCAGTTGGGGATACGCTGAACATTTTGGCCATGGACCCATGAAAGGACAGACACATTTTAGAAGATAAGACCTACTGGCATCTCTGATAAGTTACTTACATGTCATAGGAAGAAGTTACTTACATATGTTTGCTGTTAAGCACATGAACCTGATTAATTTGCTAAGGTAGGATACTATAGCACCTCAGAAGATAAGCATTAATTCTATGCCATTTTACAGATGGGAAAACCATCCAGCAGGTCACTGAAAAATTTTGAGACCATAAGAGTGGAGTCCAGCCAAGTTTCCATCCTACTTGACATAGACTATGTCTTTCCCTTATTTTTAATGCAGCAGAAATCTCACTTTTTTTTTTAAAATTAGCACTGCATTAACCCCTTTTTACAATGATTGCTTCATTTTTGTATTCTGCTTACAACTAACAGCAATTCTCATCTCTGCTTTCAGACTATATGGCTTGAGGAAATTTCTTGATCCTAGTATCCCAGTCACAGTCTTCCCTTTTGTTGTAAAATCTCTACAAAACTGTTCATGTCAACATCCAGACATATTTTTTGTTGCCTCTACCAACACTTGTGCTATAACACTTAACTTCTCAGTTATGTAAGGCATCTAAGAGTCAACAGCTTTACATATTGCTACAGAGTATCTTCTAGACATTGTTTCCTTGATATTGTACCTAATTTGGCATCTTCTAGATAACAACCAGATTACCTGGTAATCTCTGGCACTCCTCAACTGAAATACCAACAACAGAGAACCATCCACTTTTTTCCTACTCTGTGCAGAAATATTTTTGTTGCTGGGTAATACACAGCTTACAGAAAGTCACATGTTTAATGAAATGAAAGACTGATTAAAAATAAATAAACAAACTGCTCTGCTACAAGCCTCTGATCTCCTCTGTGCTCCTTATATTACATGATATTGGCTCTTTGGATGGAACCACAACTGTCTCACAGAAGTGTGGGTATTTTCATTTAAGATTCTTACCTTCTCCTTGGAAATCTAGCTTGAATGCAGCTGCAGTGGTGAAAAGGAGAGAGGAAATGAAACATTGGCAGAAGCTTTTATTCACAAGAGCAACCAAGTCACATCCACGCAGATCCCATGGACCCTCCCAGCTGAAGGACCTCTTCAGCCAGCCAGAGACAGGTGAGTACAGAAAACCAATCCATCCTCTGCACTGTCTGCACAGACATTTCAGGGAGATCTCTCTATGGTCCTACCCCAGGACCATGGGATATCAGGACCTCAAAACTACAGGCACACACCACCTTTAATAGATAAAAGAGTTATTCTTCTGTTTTTACAACTCTGAACACAACAGCAAAATTTAAATGCCCGAAAGCTTCCCTAACACTTTGGAAGCAAACAGAAAGCTGTGGTACATGCTAAGAAATTCTGCTACAGAGAACAGCAACATCTCAAAGAGCCAGCGAAGAGATCATGATTATTACTCCCTCGGGGTACCACAGAATAACAGGAGCTCATTTGAAAACAGATAAAACCATGTGGCTGAATGAAGTCGAGCCTCTGCTGTGGACTTCGACATGGCTGGTCCTTTCAGCAATATCTGCTGCACAGTTTTATGGTGTACATTCAGTCTGGCTGTAAAAAGAGATGCTACACACAAAGTAAAAAAAAATTCATTCAAAATGATATTGATCGAATTGCAAGACCAGTGAACAGTGAAACAGGTATGTCTTCCTGTAGGTCTTTGTCACTGATTGACTGTAGAGCCATTAGTGTGAATGTGTTTTCCTAATGGGTGAGCAGAATTGACTTCTGAATTACAATGTTTCTCCTCCAGACTCATACAGCCCAAAAAATGCAAGCTTTGCTGGACTTTAAAGAGTAAAGGTTCCCACTGCCCCAGAGAGAACTCAATTTCTTTTTTCAAAGAAAATATAGTTGACGGTAAGTTATATTTTAATTGTGACAGTTAAGTAGAAGGAAACTATAAACCCCTGACAAAAAGCAAAGCAACATATGTTCCCAATGTATGGGAACTCTGTAAAGGGCTTTTGCACTTTGCTTCTGTTTTCTTGTGTATCAATGACATGTACAGCTCACTTTGTATCTCAACAATAGTTTTACGAGCAAGCAAGCAGGCATGGTAGTTCTCCGAGAGGCTTAACAAAGGACATTTAAATGTGGGGAAGTAGATTCAAAGTTCAGAAAACAATGTGAAGAACTGAAAAGGACTCAAAATGCTTCAGCCAAATGACAGTGGTGCAACACTGACACGGCTTAAAAGGACTTTTCAAATGGGATTCCTCAGTGTGCACACCCCACCAGCCCGCAAAATCTTCCTCTTCGGCATCTAGACCCACAGACCACATGGAACAGAAGTGAGACAGAAGCTGTAACTGGGACCTGAGGAATCTGTGAGTGTTTGGGAGTACTGTGGGAATTTCCCCAGTGTGAGCAATGCCAGTCCAGCAGCAGGAGCCACGGAAGCTCCTGGATTCATTGCTCTCGAGGACACCCAGGTGTGCACGGCTTTATGCATGTGAGCAATCCAGCAAGTGGAACTTTTCACCCCCCTTCTCCACAATCATACAGAGTTAAACTATTAGTGGAGAAAAAAAGAAAACTCAGCTTTATGTCTGACCAGCAAAGCTGCCAGAGGTCCCACAGAATATTTAACAATTAGTTTCTACAGAGCATTGTAGGCAGAAACCTTGAAGCCTGATGAGGTTTAAAGTCAGTATTTCACTGTCTGAGATAAGAAACTGCTCTGGTTATTGCTCATACTGACTTCATGTCCAGTCAACAACCATACCAAATAAATTATCTGTCACTTCTGATATTCTTGTCATTTCCAGAGATATTGCATATTTTCATGCATTTATATAGGAGTAATTTATCAGATACGCTTATAAGAACCCAGATAATCTAAAAAGTACTAAATCCTTCACCACTGCTGAGAAGCACTACAGAAAATCTGAAAGATTGGAGGGGGGAAATGTTGCCCAAGTAGTTTCCATTCTGCAGCTCTGCCCTGATGTAGAGTGCATTCACACAATGAAGCTTCTGGGATATTACGGATTATTCTTTAAAACTTCATCTAGTAATTGCAGTTCAATTTAAATAAACTGGTAAATATTCCTGAATGAACATAACTGATTGTTACTATACCTGGCACTAAAATTTAGGAGTAGATAGCTGCAAATAAAATGTGTTGTTCTCTAACAATCACTTTGATGTTTGTCCTTTCTTCGAACACTAAATTCTCAGGCATCTACGAGAAGAATAAGTTTGGCTTTGCAATCCTAAATCAAGGAGCCTTTCCTCTTCCTTTCAGTCCTTTTTCACCTTCCTGTTCAAACCACTTTCCTCTCACTGATTGTAAGAAATTAAATAGGTTACATTCACTACAATACCTTTCCTCCACCACAAAGGTTCCCAACAGGCCTTGCATAATTTGGCTTCAAAGTTCTGAGGGGTCCCAACTGCTGATAAAATTAATGGGAAATGAGTGCACTGCAACTTGCAGAGTTAGGTCCATGTGACAACACTCAGGCAACATCAAATCGCTGTTCTCAGTGCAGAAATTAAACCACTTCCAATATGAAATATGGAACAGCAACATTTCTCCTCTTATTCTTTCAAATGCAGCAGCAGATTCCAAGTGGTAGGGGAAGGAACTAACATTCACCAGGTTTGAACATCTGTCTCTGAAACAGTTTCCTGCTTCCAAACCCCACCCAGTATGACATTAAAGAGAAAGAAAAAAAGAAAAAAAAAAGGTGTCTAAGTTCAAAAATCAAGCTTCCTTAGAGTTTGAAATAACAGATATTGTACATAGAGGACAACCTCTCCAAAAGGAAAATGTCTCCCTGTACAAATGATAAAATGTAATCCTAGAACTAAAAAAATAAAAGTAGGTGCAGCTGGTTCTTTTCATAATTTTTGAAAGCATAAGAAAATTAGATCAAATACATTATGAAACAGATGTTTTATATGAAATAAATGTTCTACTAATTCAAGAGGAAATTGGAAGCACACATTAAAGGGCTATATGATGTAGAAAATCATAGGAGACTGCTACTGATAATTGCTAATTACAGCCATTACTAATGCTTTGTCATGCAGGAGTTATAGGTCAATCCCTAACTCTAGACCTTGTTCCATGTTCTTGCTCTATGTAATAGTGACACACTTGTACCACCAGAGGAAAGGCTTTGTCAGCACTTCCACTGTAAACCTCTTACTGGGACCTGAAACTTTGTCATCAAAACGCACTTTGGGGTGAAAATTGGTATGGAAAGTCCCAGTCTAACAAAATCACAGCAAGCATGTTGCAAATATTAAATCAGAGAAAGGCTGAGGTTGGACAGGACCTGTGGAGATCATTTAATCCAACCTCCTTGCTCAGAGCAGGGCCAGCTATGGCAGGTTGCTCAGAGCTGTTTCCAGTTGAGACTCAAATATCTCTATACAGGGAGAATCCAAAAACTGTCCAGAGAACCTGTTCCAGTGTTTGACTGACCTTATAGGAAAACATTGTTTTCATGTTTATATAAGTTATATTCAATTACATTATCAATCACATATTATGTATCATATTTAAGAAAATAAGTTTTAAGTTGGCAAGAATTATTACTATTGTCAGCTCACCATGACCTGACTATTTGAAAAGAATGAAACCATAATTCATTGCTGAGGTGCCTTTGTATTTGAGACAGGTTTCATGTGTGACTCACGTACATTGGACCCCTGCCACTGTCAGTGTTAAATTTGGCATGGCCAGAAAATCAATTAAATTTGAATTTTCAAGCCAAAACCATGGCTCTAGTGTTTGATAAAACACTGTGTAAAATTTTAAGTGCCTAAGGTGATGACTTTTCTCAGTAATCCAGCTGTAAGGAAAAAAAAAGAGCATTGGAATGTGACTTCCTTTAATCCCCTTGACATAAACAATGGAATCATTTTACTGAAATTTAAAAACTAAGAAAGATGTCCAGACACTCACTGTAAGAGATTTCAAGCAAGACTGTGAAAGGGTAAAATACAGTAAAATAAACCCAGGAATGTATAAATGAATTTTTGCATTTAAGGAACATGTACTGGAAGGAAAAATACATCTATTTATATACAATACTATAATACCACCTAGTCACATGCACTGTTACTAGGATTACTCATAAAATCTTTTTTCCTCATAGAGATTGGTTTAAGTACATTATCTGAAAATGTGCAAAAGATAGTTAAATCATTAATCTAAACTCCATGTTGTGTTTTAACACAACACAATTTTACTATGTTTTGATCATTTTCTCAAATTGCATCAGTAAAGTTCTCAAGTTGTTTTTTATCAGTACATTGTGGAAAAGTTATTATAGTGATAAACTTTTAAATCTTATAGGCAGTTGTAGGATCATCCATGCATTACTTTTTGCCTACTTGTTCTATCACTTCAATCTCCTTTCCAAGTCTCCCATTATCTCAAGTAGATGCTTACAAATCTTGTGTACAGTTTTGTTTTTATTTGTGGAAAGATGGACTTCTTTTGGTCCCTCTAGTTTTTGCTGGACAAGGCTCAGTCATTGATCACCACTGATTTTTTTTTATATTTTTAATGATAGAGAGGTTCACATTTCCTCTTTTATTCCTTAACATCTGCACATCATCTGTCTACTGTGATAGTCATTACATACTTAGAAGACAGATAACAATAATTCTGACAATGGAGTAGACATGATCCTGTGTATTTGAACTAAAGCTCTATTCAGTGCCCATTTGAAAATGGGGTTATTTATGGCATTCTTCAATTCTCTTATGACTCATACATTTTTTGAGGCCACAAAGACAATATAAAAGCTTACATACAACATGTTTAATCATACTGATATCCTGGGCTGATATAACCTCTGCAATCCATTCTCTCAACAAGTAGCTGGGGAAAATAGATGCCAGATTTATTGATTTCATACTGGGCCTAGAATACTGGCAAATAATCAGGTATGAAACTGCTCTTTGTTCTTCTATTCAGTTCTTTCCTCTACAGAAGAAATGGAGTCTTCCTCCCAACACAAAAAGCAACAGGCTTGCATTCTGTGTCTGCAAGTGCTGCCACAGAGCACTTAACACAAACTTACTTGGTTGTTTTGTTAGAAGACTGATTCCACTCACATACACACAGAAAGAAAGAAAATCCATATTGAGAGAAGGCTCTAATTAACAGATTTCTCTTGAGCACAGATGAGTACCCAGAGATGAAAAGGCTCAGATTACCTACTTCATGCTGATAAAGTGCAAAATGAAACCCTGATCAGCTTTGGAAAGGCATTCCACTGCATTTAGCTACACCATTAACGGATGAACAAAAAAGATTTGTCTGAAATTACTTATTAAGAAATGAAACAAGGAATAGGTGGGGAGGGTTTGGTGGTGGGGGTGGGGGGTTTATATTTTGGTTTTGGGTTTGTTGGAGGATTGTTTGTTTTGTTTTGTTTTTATAAATTGAACTACTCAGGCAAGATGGAAAGTTTATTTTCAAACTTCTTAAAACTCAGTTTTTCTTACTAGTCTGCTTATCTATCCATGGTGCTGATCTTAACTGAGAGCCTTGCATGCCCCCTGTTTACCTCTGTCAATCTTCAAGGTAGTTTCCACGGGCTTTGAATTCCAGCTGCATACAGACAAAAGCATCTCTCCACCAGTGCCGGGGTTGTTCACTGTCTCCCATACACGTGAGACTGTGAGCAACATACAGACTATGGAAAGGGATCCCTCATATACAGAGTTGAGCTATGCAAACAGTCTGGAGACAGAGAAATCTCCAAGATCTCTCTCCCCAGAATCCTCACTTCCAGCAGAACAAAACCTCTATTCTTTTGTATGTTCTTTTGGTGCTTTAGTCTTCTGTTTCTGCCCCTACTTCCCTGCAGCTGTGCTCATGCCTGTTCCAGCATCCCCTTCAAATTCCTTCAAAACCAGAGATAGCAAAGCCTGCAACAAAATTCCCCACATCCAGGATGGTCCTTTCAGCCTGGGAGTCTAACATTTGACAGAAGTATTAAATCATAACAGTTAACAGTTCAGTGAAAGTAAGTCCAAGTAGGACAAATGCAACATTCTCAGGCCTTATGGGGACTCTCTGAACCGTATGACAACTGGTGCTAATGCTTAACAAATGTCTTCCAAACACTGTGGAAAGAATATGGTTTCATTGATATGCTGTTCTGATGGATTTGTGGAATGAAAGTCACTGCATAGCTGCATTTCTGAGACAAGTTTTATACCTCATTAAAGCAGTACATAAGCTGTACAATTATACATCCATATGTCACTGCCAAATTTATACTCTTTTACATACTGTTAGATTAAGATGGTTTCACTTCATTGCTCTGCAAATGGACTTTTGAAAGAATATTTCACTCAAATTTTTGTGCAGCACTGACAGGCAAAGCACATGAAAGAACATGGGGTTCCTTGTATAAATGCAGCACCTAAAATATGCCCTGAAATAAAAAAACATGACGTGAAGAAACAATTTTTACGCTCTCCCACTACAGTGACCTTTCCAAAGTGTGGGCTGTAGTCCAGTGTCCCCTTCCCCCACCAAGAGGCACCATTTTAGAACCAATTCCACTGGATTATGCTGTAATGCACCGTGATGTCTCTTGATCTGACCCACTTCTTCAAGTCTGATGGGTTTTTGTTTACACTGGAAGACATCTGATCCAAAGCAGCAGGAGGATTACAGCACTGTCTAATTAGAATAACTTTTCAATTTATAGTGAATAATGAATACACACCATTGGACGCTGCTGTCTAGTGGACTGCACGAAGAACCAGCACAACTGAGTTCTGCCCCTTAAGGCAAAAATGAAAACAAAACAAAAAAGGAAAACAACCCCAAACCTTTAGCTGATATTATGTATCTAGCTCTCTGTCACGCAGCCTGCTTTTACGTTTTTGGCTGTCATTTCTTTCCCTCCTGAAAGAGACTGCTTTGCTGCATACACTCATATCAAGAGACTTGACTAGCAGCTACAGCAAGGCAGAAAATTCACTTCATGTTTGAGAGGCAGCTGGTGAAAGACCCGATAGAGCTAGAAATTTCAAAGGCAATGCTGCCTCCCCCCCTCCCTTTGCCCCAGCAAAGCTATCTCAGGAGTAACTGAAGTGAGTCTCCAAAATTGATGCATTTGCAAAATTTGTATGGTTCTGGCAAAACTGAAGCCATAGATTTTTGTGTAGAACATTTTCAGGGAACCATACAGGATCATTCGATCCTGTAACAATAAATATAGCTACATACAGGGTGCAAGGAAAAACATCAGGGATAGGAAACCGACCGGATAATTAAAGGAGAGGGCAAAGGTAGCAAGCAGTAGTCATAAAAGCTTGAAGGAATTATGAATACCCTGGACAGATTTCTTCCACAGGTGACTGCAGATGTCTCTGCAATTGCTCTTCCTTGGTTTAAGAACAGAGATGCATTTATTGCATGTAGCTTGTTTTTATGGCAAAGCCAGATGGGAAGCTTGTAGGGCTGCTACTTAACACAACTGCTTACACATGAAGCTGCATTATAGGAGAAAAGCTGTGTGAAAAGGATCAAAATGATGAAATGCATCTGGCTTAGTGCACAGCAGTAAACAGAGGCAAATATATTACGGTAGTTCAATTACTGATAGGATACTAGAGCCTATTCAAGACTTAATATTTAATTATCTTTAGACTACATCAGTTGTTAAGCTGTCAGCAGCATCTGTAGAGGCTACATAGGTGGACATCTGCTACAGACTGAGAATGCCACACACCAGCAGAGCTGTTTGCCACAAATACACAGGAAGAAATTCAGGAACTCACATTACAACTACATCTTTCACATAAAACATATTTACAACAGGGATATGTATCTTGGATCACCCTGAAGCTGGTAGGAGGCAGAAGGACAAACTGCACTGACTGGGGGCTCACTGGAGGGAGTAGTGAATCCTGAGGTAAGGGAGATGAAAGAGCACTGTTTAAGTAAATCCTCTGCACTGAACCACCCTGACATCCAGCTGAAACTAAGCTTATGTACCTCTCTTGCATGCAAAACACTGTTGTGACAGATCATTCAGTTTGCAAAGTCAAGTCCAGTTAAGCTTAATTTGGCTTCTTCAAGCAGACACTACAGCACTCTGCATGCACAATTCCATGAATATATGCTTTTTTCCTACCCCAGGAACATCCTCAGTTGGACAACTCTCACAGACAGCAGCCCTAAGTACTCTGCTGATCCCAGTTGCTGCCTCCCCAAGCACCCACCACCTGTACCAGTTCTTCTGGAACTTGCTTGATTAAAGCAGGTCTGAATGTATCCCTGAGCCTGGGCAGGTCCCGGAAAAGTGAAGTCTTAATTAGAAGCCAGCTCAGCCCCTAACAAAGCACATGCTTTGTAACTCAGTAACATGACAAGATTTAGCTGGATTCTTATGAGAATAACAAAAGGTTCATCCCCAGCAACAGAACAACCCTCTAGACAACGTGTCTGGTCTGAAACGTGGAAGTGTGAGAGCTTTCCAGCCAACAATTAAGAGTGTAGTCTCCTTCCAAGAAGAAGCTCAATTATTTCTGCTGACAAAGCCTCAAATTCATCCCATAGCAGCAGCCAAGTATACTTCAGCTTGACAAAGCTCAACTCAGCAGAAACAAATCTTACAAAATGGACACACAAAGAAACCTTAACTCTAGGAAGCACAACCGGCTACTTCTACATCATATCTTACAGGCTTGCATTTCCTCTGCACTGCACAGTGACAGCAAAGCACAGCACAGCTAAGTGCATCGCTTTTTAATGATCTTTGAGAAGTTAAAGAGGACAATAAGTTTCTTCCTAGCTAAGCCATATGTCTGAAATGGTGAGGAATGTGAACATCTGCAGTGGATTGAAAACAGCCTCTTGCACTCTATAGCATTTGCAGAATTCTTCACCCTCTGTAATAGGCACCAAGTAATAGCAATGCTGCACCATAAATGTTCCTTTCGTTTGTGAGATGATCAATTATCAGCAATCCCAAAAGCAGATTCTGTCATGATGCTAAAAAACTGAAAATGTAGGGTTTGTGTTTGCATATTGTACACAGTTTGAGTACAGAACTACCCAAATATGTCCAGTCATCCTTTTGCCATTGCAAGTCAGTGTGTTTTAACCATCTTTTAGGTCACTAAGTACACAGGGGAGATTTATAGCAATTGATAATGGATAAGGTGACTTTGTAATTTTGCAGGAAGAAGCTGAAACTTTCCATTCCTTCTTGTCAGGTCTCTAGGGCCATTAGGATTTGATACTGTAAATGAACCTTAAAGATTTGTTTAAACTACAACTGGATTTGGCTAAGTAATTTTTTTTCTTAATACAAACTGTTTCTTTGTCTTCTACAAGGTCATACAGCAGGGATTTAGGGTTGTTGTTTTTTTTTTTTTAATTTGTGTTCTGCATTTGTTTTTAACATAATTTCTTTTTTGTATTTTTTTTGGCTCTAACCTTCCAGTGTGGGTTAAAGACGCAAATATTAAAATGCAAAGTCAAATACAAGTTATTTTCACAAGCACTAATGTAAAAAAAGGTCTATTTTCCTATTTTCTAGACTAATATTTACCATCTTTGACAGACTTATTGCTGAGCAGATTGCTGCATATTTCAGCATTATCTTTTAACAACTTGACAGATCCACCTATTTTCCTGTGATTATTTTATCCCAAGTTGGAAGCCTAATAGTTCCTTTTTGACACGCTGAATCACAGGATTTGTAGCATAGCACAGACTCTTGTGATTTATTGTTAGTATTTCGATGATACTTTACAGAGCATATTTGGATTTCCAGCAGTGCTGTTTTGTTGGGCCTGATCTGCTCAGAAATACAGCCAGCAGCCCCAGTAACCCTGGGATGATCTATATTCCACCAGCAGAAGCACAAGTGAGGCAGCCACCTGAAAGGCTTGAATTGAGGATCAGGAGGTCACTCGGGAACCATTGACTACTGCAACAGCAAGGAGGGCCTGCTTTCTTAGCAGAGAAGGAAATCTTGGACAAGTTAATTCTGGATATTCAGTAAATGCCAGCAATTTCCTCTGCCAATTGTTTAAATATACAGCATAGAAGCATGGGATGGACAGCTAAAAATGCACACAGATACAGCACAATAACAGAGGGAATACATGGTTCCATACAAGATGTTCTGTTGTAAATGCAAGCAAAAGACATAAAGCAAATTGCTTTAATAGCAACTACCCTTTCAAGGAAGTGCATCATACATAATTCTGCCACCCAAATCCAGAGAGTGAAAAATTCTTCACATTGTTCCTTCAGTCACTTCAGCTTTCTGTGTCTTCAGATTATAACTGGTAATTCTGCTAATTATTTCCAGCAAGGTTCCTAGGGTTATTACAGAAAGGATTTTGCAACCAGTGAAGCACACCAGAAGCTTTATTTATTTTCATAATGATTGCATATTCATAGGAAGCAATACTGGAAGGGACCTCCTGGGTCATCAAATCCAATTCCCTGCTATCACAGGCAGCCACACAACACAGACACTTCATAAACGAGCAAGTTCCATCTTAGAAGTAATTTGGTTTCTCGTCCCCACTACTCTAAATGGAAAGTTGCTCCAGAACCTCAACCTTCTCATTACCAAATTAAATTTATTTGTAGAAAGTTAATTTCGGTTCTGATGCCAATGCTACCCTTTAACTCAACATTTCTGCCTTCCATTTGGTCCATTTATAGAGAGCAACCACAGTTGCTCCCATTCTACCTTTGCCATATCATATAAAGTACTATGTATATCCACACAACTGTTTATACACTAAACTAGTCTCTTTAATTTTCAATTACCCTTTTTTAAGCCCTGGGAAAGTCTGTGCCACATTAGAGCACCCAGCTTGAGGTTTTTTTCAGGGTAAGACAACCTGACCGATTGGTGTTTTGTCAGCCATACCAATTTACATCAACTGAGGGTGCAAGAAAAGAAACACAAATCACTATGTCTAATGAATGTCTAATGTCATGCAGGTGAGCACTATGAAGTCAGTCAAAGCCTGCAGATGCCTAAAATTGTGAATGGAGACTGTTTATCACTATGAGATGTTACGTAGAAGGCATATTTCTCCAGGTCCCTCATCATGCCAGCAGGTAAGAGATTTTTGTGAGCCTAACACAATCATAATGAGACAAACACCTAGTCAGGGTATGTCTAAGGAATGGGAATACTTGTTACTGAGACCCCAAGGCCACATTTTCTGCTCTGGGAGTGGTGGCAGAGGATGGAGACACAATGCAAAAGTAGCCCCAGGAGATTCCTGGTCCCTGTGTGTGCTTGCTGCCCTCAGTGCTCACCACAAAGTGATGTGGGACAAAAGGCAACTGTACCAGTCCACTAACAGGAGCTCCAAGGGAAGAAAGTAGGAATTCTGCTATGCCTGAGCATCCAGCCTGCACTGTTCAGGAAAGCTGCGTATTTTGCAAGCACTCTGAATGTCTGAGTGCATTTCCTCTGTGCACCTGCACCTTGACACAGCTGTGGGGCTGCAGCCAAGGAAAACAGTTTTGAAGCAGTGAAGTTAAAGTATAACTCCAGAGTTACACTGAAATCAGACCCATAAGTGTCTTGTTGAAATTTTCACTGAGATAACAAGAAAATCAAATTTTGTGATTTGAGGGCACCAAGGCATAATTCACATTAAAAAAACCCCCAGTCTTTACTGAAAAAACCTTCAGTATAGATTATATTATCCTCCTTTTCTGTACTGTAGCACAGATGACTTGTACCTACAACATAAACACATGTACACAAAATAACATTTTCTGGCAATTTTACCAGGTACAATAAGCAGTAGCAGGTCTCTCTGAAATGAGGGAACAAAAGGGCATAACTCAGAATGGCTACAGAAGAGTTGCTACTTACCTCTAGTTTGCCCAGGTGAGGTCCATTTCTGGCTTTTTTTTGATCAGCATATCTGTAAAAATACAGATTTTGCAGATGATGTAGATATTTCAGACATTATACAGCAGTTGCCTCTCAGAATACTTGCTGGGGATTGGGAAGTCACAGGCCTAAAGCTCTTGTGTATTAAAGGGTGTAGATATTTTCTCGATACTTAAATGCAAGTAGATAACTTCATAGCAGAGTCCCCTAAACCTTCAGCAGAAGAAAAATTCATTTACAACAAGACTGATAGACATATTTATTACTCAGAAAATACTGATTGGATTAGAAGAGAATTTTGAGGTATTCCCTACATCGACATTAGAACATAAGAAATTCTGTTTACAAATACTGTAATGTAAAATGAACTATTGAATCAATTGAGCAACAAGCTCTGAAAACTAGCAGAAAAAGATGAATAATGTAAAAGGATTTTTTGATCAATAAGGTAGGAGTAAAATGCATTACTAAATATGAGATCTGTCAGACAGAATAAGATGCCTTAATAAACCTGTTTGTGTCAACTCCTAACCAGCTAGATTTGAATCAAGATTATGATAATACAAAAAGCAGACAGTTGGAAAAGGAAAGCAAGTTTGAATTACCAGAAGATAAACATGTACAGAGTGAATTTTACAGAGAAGATTAGGAACACTTATTGTGATATAGCCTGATGTGAGCTCTAGAGATTGCCTAATAAAAGTGTGTTAACAATAATATCAGAAACAAAAGAAAAGAACCTGTAAAAAACCTGATGGGTTTGAAATGGGCAAAGGCACTGTGGTAAGATTATGAGTCCACTTTAATATAAAGATAAGACAATGTTATCAGAAACTGAATTCAAAGATAGGAGAGTTACCTTCTGCCAAGGTAAGGAGTATTTTTTCCACATAAATCAGTATTTTACATGTGTAAAAAAGAATATGGAGAACAACCAAGAAGAAAACATTTCTCCCCAGTTCCTGAGCTCAGCCCATAAAACCTCAGAGCTGGAGAGGTAATGCCTGGTAGTGCTTGGCGTGGGGCTGGAAATGGCACAGCTGCAGCTCCCACGCTGCTCCTCTGCTCTCCAACTCAACTGCAAATTGCCTGGTAAGAGGCACTAGGCTGGAAACTGCCACACTCAAAACAGCTTTAACAGAGTTACAAGTACTAACTTATTGCCTCAGACAGCTCCTAATCAGTGTATCGACAGTGAATGGGAAGGCACTAACTTTGGAGATATCAATTTAAATTATTTGCTCCGCAATAGAATTGTTAGGTAACTTCAGGCAAATCATTGAAGGCTTTACAGCCTTAGTTAGCCAGACACAGCAGCCCAAATCCAGTAAATCTTCATACAGACATGCCCAAAGCCCCAAATGTACTGCTTTATCTTCCAGGCTATTGTAGGCACAGAGTTATTGAATTCACCACAGATGCCACTGGACAAATTCAAAGAGTAGCTGGCACTCATTCAACTGCAGCAGGGGATGTCATCCCACTCCTCGAGAAGTGGGCCATGGGAATCTCACAAGGCTTAACAAGACCAAGCACAAGGTGCTGCACCTGGGTTGGGGCAACCCTGGTATCAGTCCAGGCTGGGGGTGAACAGGATGAGAGCAGCCCTGGGGAGAAGGACTTTGGGGTGCTGGTGGGTGAGAGGCTGGAGCTGCCCTGGCCGAGTGCTCTGGCACACAGAACCCCTGTGTGCTGGGCTCATCCCACAGCCTGGGCAGCAGGGCAGGGGGGATTCTGCCCCTCTGCCCCCTCAGGTGACATCTCACCTGCAGAGCTGCCTCCAGCCCTGGGGTCCCAGCACAGGGAGGACGTGGAGCTGCTGGAGTGAGTCCAGAGAAGGCACCAAGAGGATCAGAGGGATGAGCAGCTCTGCTAGGAGGAAAGGCTGGGAGAGTTGGGATTGTTCAGCCTGGAGAAGAGAAGGCTTCAGGGTGACCTAATTGTGACCTTCCAGTGCTGAAAGGGAGCCAACAAGAAAGGCTCTTTTACAAAGGCAGGTAGTGACAGGACAAGGGGAGAATGGCTTCAAACTGAAAGAGAGTAGGTTTAGATCAGATATCAGGAAGAAATTCTTCCCTGGGAGGGTAGGGAGGCCCTGACACAGGTTGCCCAGAGAAGCTGTGGATGCCCCATCCCTGGAAGTGTTCAAGGCCATGTTGGATGGGGCTCTGAGCATCCTGGGATAGTGGAAGGTGTCCCTGCCCATGGCAAGGGAGTTGGAACTGGATGATCTTTAAAGTTCCTTCCAACCCAAAATATTTGGCACTTAGTGCTATGGTCTGGTAACCACAGTGGTGTTGGATCAAGGGTTGGACTTTATGACCTCGGAGGTCTTTTCCAACCCAGTTGATTCTGTCATTCTGGAAAATGTCTGGGAGACCTTACAGCACACGGGTACTGCCTTACCTCTGGGTTCAACCCTAAACAGAGATATTCTGTTCAAAAGTTCAAAACTGTGACAATGTGGTCCTAGGAGATACCTGAACTTTACAAATAAAGTACTTCTGAAGTTTTGAAAGAAGTTCATCTGCATGGGCAGAGAGAGATGGAAGGTTAAGCCTTCATTAAGAGCAGATGGTAAGAGCTCTCTTGCTCCCTGTCTCTCAATCTCCATTGACAAAAATGGATATTAATATCGCCTAATTCACAGAGAAGAGTGAAGTGATCCAGGATTATTACAGCTATGAACTGCTATATAAGCATAACAAATGGCTATATATTCCCACCAATTCATCACACACTTACAGCTGGATAAAATATTCTTTGTTACATACTTTTAGCTAAATTAGTGCTAACTATAGCTTTCAAGCAAAGTCATAAGTACTTTGGTTGGATTTCTTCAAAAGAATAGTCACAGAGGAAAGAATTTGTACTTATTCATGCAAATCGAAGATATTTCAAATGTTGCTTTAGTTGAAATTATACCTCTTCAATAAATAGAATGTAAATATTTCCATTAAATGCTTTTAAAAAGTAGATTCTTTGAGGGTTTTTTTTTTCCACATCAATATTTATGTATTTCTGACTGAATAAATCTATTTCCTGGGTCCAAATACTTGTAGTATATCCCAAATGTTCTAAATAAAAATGAACTATGTTTGAGAATAGCTTTTATAAGTAAGGAAGAGTGTTCTATAGGTTGAATAACTACAGTTTATAATTGAAAACTCATCTTTTTCTAGAAGCATAGCTGTCATCAGCAGACATCTTGAGCACTTAAAAAGAACATCTCCCAGTTTTTCCTGAGGCTTCTTCAGGAGCAAAAAGAGATGGTGTTGCTTCTGAAATCTGTACATCAGTGCTTCTGCCATTCTGCTGTCTATCTTGTATGTAGCTGCTCTACACATCTGGTCTGGGCTGCTGGATTGCTATTCATCCTTCTATACTGCTGGGAGGTGTCCCTGGGGAATGATATCTCTACAGCTACTGTACAACTCGAGGTTACAATCTCAGTAACACTTTCTGCCATAATTATGTTTAGACTGGTGCTTTAAAACTATCCATTTCATTAATTCTCAATTTGGACCCTGAAGCAAGGAGCTGAACATCTTACTACACACAGAATGTCTGAGAGAACAGATTTGAAAGTCCCAGATGGATTTCTTCAAATAATAAAAAAGAGCAGAAACAACAACAACAACAAAACCTTCCAAAGGTGCTTTTCTCAAATATAAGGTGTCAGCCCCTAAGCATAAAGATGCAATTAATTTTTAAGGACTCCTCATTACACATAAATGTCCTAAACCTCTGAATGTTTGGTCCATTCTCTCCTTAACGGCCTCAGAAGGGAGAGAGGGACAACATTTATTAACTTCATAATGTGAAGTTAATAAATCTAGATTCTAGCAAGAAAGATTTGATGCTTCAGAAAAGATGTCCTTTCACTCTTGATGAGATCAATTTATCTAGAATAGACGAAGTAATGTAGAGGACACAGAAAAGTTATCACATAAAGTTACTAAGGAAAATTTAAATCAGAGCTTTGATTATAAATCCAATACACAGCAGAAAGTGCAAGTTTTAGAAACTTTACAACAAATGCCATTTAGGCCTATCACTCTTACTGCTAAAATATTCCTTTGAAAGAACCTCCCTTTAATCCATGTTAATCCATAAATTGCTTTCACGACCAGCACTTACCTAAAACGTGACCAGAATTCTTGGGACTATGGAGATAGGTATAAAGCAACAAAAACATCTATTACACATGCTTTGAAGTTGCAAAGTTCAGTCTCACTCAGAACAGTTTAATTAAAAGCAATTACTTCATATTAAGCCTTTGCACCAAAAAGGGTGTGATTTTCATCGCATGGATTGCTCTTAACATGGAAAGTTTCTCACTGATTGAGGCAGTGTGTGTTCTGAGTCAATCCTCCTGCAAGATTTGGCAAATGGGCTGCCAAAACATTACTGTGCTGCTGCTGTATAGCACCATCCATCATCGTACAGGTAATCCCAACAGTTCTGAACCTGTCAAGTCTCAAAACCTTCCCCTTATAGTTTCTTTGCAGGGATGTCCTAGACTAAAAGAAATGGAGAAAACCAATAAATTAATATGAACCTGTTTCTTCAGCTCCCTCTAATATTTCCTAATTCAGCCTTACATTAATGTTTGTCTCAAAGCTTAATAAGCAGAGCTAAATACACAGCACAAAATTATGTAAAGTAAAGGCATACAAACTTAGAAAATCACTGTAAAAGTCCTGAGAACCCTTTGACACTGACAGCAGAGAAATCTGTGGGTTTGCTCCAGTTCTGGTGTGGCTAACACATGTTCTGGTTCATGCCTCCTCCATTCACCTCATCCTCCACAGGGTCTTCCAGCACTGTCTCCACTTCTGCCTCTGCTCCATGCTCTGCCTCACCCACTGACCAGCCTTCCCCAGGGCCCCACATGGTTCCTGTTTCCATCTCTGTGTCCCACCTGCCATCTGGGTCTGCCCTTCCTCACACCATGACTTCAGCCTGAGTCTCCTATCCAGGCAGCTCCAACCTACTCCAGCCTCACCAGATTGCAGTTCTCACATCACC